CCACCGCCCCACAACACACACACACACACACACACACACACACGATATTCACACAAAGACCATACAACACGCATCAAGGCTGTATAGGTGCCCCTCCTCTGGGCTCCTGCAGCCTCTAAGTTTGACCCCCGACCCCCATCATGGTATTTATGCCCCCAGTGAAGGCCAAGACTCACCCTTTTCCTTCTCTTCCCTTCCGGCAGAGAGCCTTGCATCAAATCTCCTGCCATCAGTGGCCGGACCCCTGACCTCCTCCCATGGTCACAGTCCCACCTCCATCGAGGCCCCCTCAAATGGGTACATACCCCGTGTCTGCCGAGGGCTCTCCTCATTCCCTGTAGAGCTGCTCCTGGCCCGGCCCTCGTAACCCACAGGTCACACTCACCTGGGCTTTGGTCACCTCCCCTCCCACCCAGACAACAGCTTGGCCCCACACCCGCACCCCCACCAACCCCAGCCCAGGGCCTCTGGAATATGTGGTGACTTGAACTGGGCCAGAACCTTAAGGTCACTTCTGTCTGGGGCCTCAACTTTCTCATTTGTAAAATGGAGTAACGCTCAAAGCACCTGCCGAAACTCAGAAGTGTCATGGTGACTGTCATTAGCATAGCCATCGGGTCCCTGCTGGGCCGAATCTGTGGCTGACGGGAACTTTGGTGGGTGCAGCTCATCCCCTAGTGAACCCTTTCCTCAGGTGAGTTCTGGTCCTGCCCTTCCTGCAGACTGGGTCCCTGAGGCACTTGGTGCTGAGCCCTGGAGGTGGGGTATTTGGCTGGGGTTCCTGACAGATAACGGGTGTTGTCAGTTCCAAGCTCCAGGCTGAGCCTTTCAGGAGGACAGCTGGTCTCCCCTGGGGGGGCAGGATGGGGACTGGGCTGGAGCCTCAAATCTCTTCCTCCATCCAGCACCACCCCGGCGCCTGGCCCTACTGGGTTGGGAGAAACTTGTAGGGTAGGAGGGCGAGCCTCTCCTGGTGGGTGACCAGAATCAGGAGAACAGGGAGGGTAGATGAGTAACTTAGGGAAGGAGCAGAGTTACCTGCTTTCATCAAGGCAGACGCATTTATGGGAGATGGACAAAGATGATTTGCCGGACACACACCCAGCAGGACCCCAGCAGCTCACTGGGCCACCCCACATGCAGAGATGGAGACCAAGAGGCCAGGGTGGGGAGGGGACTGGGCAGGCACGCAGAAGGGCCAGGTGGAGCAGCCCTGTGCTGCTCGAATGCCTTCATTCACAGGTGCTCACTGGAACCTTCATGTGCCGGCCTGGAATGATGTGCTGGGTGTACGGTGAGGGACGAAACAGCCGATTCTTTCGGCCTTAGAGGCTAGCAGAGTCAGAGGGCCACAAGAAGCCAGTAAAAAAAAAAAAAAAAAAAAGGGGGCAGCGGGACATCAGCAATAGCAGGGGTGGGGTACGTGCTGGGATGGGAAAGAAGGTGGCACCCATGCTCATTTACAAACATTTCTGTACCTTGGCCCATGTGTGTCCCAGGGTTTCTTCCAGAATGTTTCTTAGCTCACTCATCCTGTCTATGCACATGGTTGGAACACCTTTGTCTGAAGCAGGGGGCAGAGTAATTATGAGCAAGGTCCAGACTCCTCCTTCTGGCCGTGTGATTTGGGGCAAGTCGCTGTCCCTCTCTGAGCCTCCATGGCATGACGTCCCCTATAAAATGGGTGCATATCCTGCAGGACTGTTGTAAAGACTCCTCAAGATGATGTGTGCAGAGCTCTTGGCTTGGGGAACCAGGCTTGACTCTCTGCTCCAAGCGCCCTTGGCCCCTGATTGCCCTGCTCAGGCCCCATAGGCCTCTAGTCTCTGCATGAGCCCCAGTACCTGACAGCCCAGCCCTGGGGGGTATGAGCAGTTCCTGCAAGATGGAGGCCCAGCGCCAGCTGGCCGGGATGACAAGACTGCCAGGGACAATTTGGTTACCCAGCTGCATACTCAGGAGCTCCTGCCTCGCTGGGGCTGAATGTTTCAAATGCAGATGAGTTCTAGAAACACAAGGGCAGTTTGCTGGAGGGAGCCATGGGCCCCAACTCTGACCTGCTAGGATGCCCTGATTAAAAAAGGAAAACTGAGGGGCGCCTGAGTGGCTCAGTGGGTTGAACATCCTACTCTTGATTTCAGCTCAGGTCATGATCTCAGGGTACGTGGGATGGAGCCCCACGTGGGGCTCTGTGCTCAGCTGGGAGCCTGCTTCTCCCTCTCTGTCTGCTCTTCCCCCTGCTTGCAGTTCTATCTCTCTCTCTCTCTCTCTCTCTCTCTCTCGCGCGCGCGCGCGCGCGCGAGCACGCTATCTCTCGCTCTCCCCCTCTCTCTCAAATAAATAAAATCTTTTTTTAAAAAAAGGGAAAATTGACCACAGCCTCCCAGTACTGGCCACCCCCACTGCTGTGGGCCAGGCACTGTGAGGTATTCCAACAGCCCCTTGAGGCTTCTGCAACTCAGATGAGGCGCAAAAGATAAGGAAACGAGGCTGGGAGGGGGGAAGGCCCATGCCTCAGGCCATGGGGTTGTCGTGTGGAAGAGCCAGAATTTACCCTCTTCTGAGCCTGAAGCCTGACCTCTTACCTACCCGGCTGCCCCCTGCTTTTGTCTTGTCAGCAAAGAAACAGGTTTGTCCCAGCACCCACCTTGCCTAATTCACACCCAGCTGTTCATCCACCCAACTCCTGGGCATCACCCCCAGGACCTCCTTAGAGAGCCTTGGCGTGAGACCTGGGTGGGGGTGCTGAGAACTGATGCTCCCCAAAGGGCAGATCAGGGGAACCTTCCCGGGAAGGGTCCTGAGACCCCAGGATGTCGCAACCAGAAGGGACCTCAAGGATCACCACTTTGGCAATTTTTCTGTATGTTGCGCATATAGAAAAGCTCCAGCTCAGAGAGGGGGAGACACTGGCCCGGGGACCCACAGCAAGGTACTGACCCTCCTGGGGCTAGGTGGGAGCTAGATTTGGGAACTAGATGGGGGCTGGGTTTGGAACTCAATTTCCCAGGTTCAAATCTGGGTCGTGCTTGCCAGCTATCAGCCTGAGTCCCTGAACCCTCTGTGCCTCAGTGTCCTCATTCTATAGAATGAAGAGAATAATAGGTCCTATTTCACAGGCAGTTGTGAGAAATAAATGAATGAACACACATACTATGCTTAAAAACGGGGGCTGGTACTCAGTAAGCATGCAATCGACGTGAACTGTCATCTGTCCTTGTCAGTCTCCGGTTTCTAGTCCAGTACAGACCTGTCTGCCCAGGCAACCTTCAGTGTCACCTACTCTGTCAACACTGAAGACCGAGCCTGCCCTCCTGGTGCTCACAGTCCAGCTAGGAAACACCTGAGACCTGAGGCTGGCAAGACGAGGGGCAGAAAGCACAGTCCTGGGCGGAGGGAATAACATGCATGAAGACCTGGGGCAGAAAGGGCATAAAGCTGCCCAAACTAGAGAGAAGGTCCACATGGCTGGAGTTCGGGACCAAGGGTGAAGAGAGGGGAGAGGTGGCAGAGGGGGTCGGACATCCGGTGCCTGGGAACGACACAGAGAGACTGGAGAGCCAGGGATAGTTAGAAGGGAAGGAAGTGGTCAGGCTTGCATTTTGGAAGGATCCACTGGCTTGACCTAGAGAGCACATTGGATGGGGGTTGGGGCGGGGCAGAGAGAGAGCGGGAGCCCAACCCGGACAGGGGTGAGGGGGCTGTGGGCACAGGATGAAGGGAGCTGACTCCTTTAGGTGGGAAGCTCCTTGGGTCTGGGTAAGTATTGAGCTAGTGGTTGGGGAGGAGGGATCCAGGACGGACTTGGGATCTGGTCCAGGTGCATGGCTGGAAGTGGTGGTCAGGAGTTCAGTTCAAGGAGGAGGAATGACTTTGCATCCAGCTTGGGCCACTCCAGCTGCAACAGCAGCCAGGGACCTTGGTGACTTGAGTTCCAGGCTTTAGGGAGTGGCACCTCAGGCCCTTCTCTCAATATGCCCTTCCTCATGGGGCAAGGAATCCTTGGGACCAAGATCCATGATCTGGGCACCTGGGATCCTGAAATTCCCTGCTTGATGGCCCCCAGCCCACTTCCTGGGTCCATCCCCCCAAAGGATAGTCTGAGCTGGCCATTTGGACACCCTGGAGCTCTAGGGGTGGCCAAGAGGTGGCTGTTTGCAGGGGGTGTGGACAGAATTCATGCACACAGGCTGGAGTGTCCATGCCTCACAGAAAAGGACAAGAGCTGGGGGGTATGAAAGAAAAGGCAGGCCCAGTGGGCAGCTGCTGGCCAGGGCTGTCTCTCCCCATGCTGTTACTTCTAGCATGGACCCCAGGAGTCTGAGACTTCTGAGTACAAACCCAGCCTTCCAGCTGTATTTGTCCTTAGGAAGGTGTATTTGTCAAGGAAGGAAGATGGAACATATTTTATTTCGCAGTTTATTAGCTTGATTTATAACTTGTAAATACTTAGACCTGAGGTATGTGGGCCTCTGCTTGTACTCCTGCCCCCCAGGACTGCCCAGAGAGGAGCAGCCTCCCTGGTCCCCGCTGACAGGCATCCAGTGGCTGACCTTGACCAGCAGGTTGACTCCTGGGGATCCCCCAAGCTTCCTTCCCAGGATCCCGACCCCACTGTGCTCCATCCACTCCTCTGTGTTTGTCTGCCTTGCCCTTTCAAAGTTCACCTCCAGCCCTTCCTCCTCCAGTAAGCCTTCCCTCGCTGGAGGCCCTGGCTTTCCAGTTTGGGGCTGTGGTTTTGGTCACAGATGCATGTGGTGGTCTGACTGGCTAGGACGTGAGTCCCCACCCTCCTGCAGGACCAGGAGCTCCTAGAAGCAGCACCTCACAGCAGAAGCAGTATCTTGCAGAGGGTAGGAGTCTAGCTCAGAACACACACAGACTTGAGGTCAAATCCCAGCTCTGTGACTTTCTTGCTGTGTGACCTTGGGAAGCGGCTTCGCAGCTCTGAGCTGGTTTCCACTTCTGAAAACCCATAATCATAACTGTACCTCTTGCAGGGAGGAGGCAATATGGAACGCAGAGCCCACGTGTGCCCAGCATTTGGCAAGTACTCGGGGAAGGAATTAGGAAGGGCAGGAGTTACATCATTCACTTCTTTATACAGCTGAGAAAACAAGCAGAGGAGGTTCAGCGAGGTGAGGCCGGTTGCCCAAGGTCACACAGCCTGTAGCGGGCCAGGGGCCCGGGCCAGGCTGTCCGACCTGCGCTCTAATCACTGAGCCCCCCGGCCCGAACCTGCCCCCTCCCCGTTGCTTTGCCCCGGTCTCCGTGGCCCTTGGGCGCCGGAAGGCCGCGTGGAGGCCGCGGAGACCAGTGGCAGGGCCAGGGCCTAGCCCGCGGGGCGGGAGGGGTTAACGGGCTCCGCCGCATTGGGCCGGCCTCCGGGGGAATCAGCCAATGGGCGAGCGCCGCGATGAGGTAATGCCGGGACCGGGAGGAGTGGGCGGGGCCGGCGGGGACCTCGCCTCGCTCACGTTCCTTCTCTCCCCACCTACCCTTCACCTTTGACCCTGATGTCCCCTCCCCAGCCTTACACCCGCGTTAACCCCCCTGCTGGAGCTGAGGGTCTCGGGGGGCGGGGGACCCTAGGTCCCTTAAGGTCTTCGGCAGGAACCGGAGACGTCTTGCCTCCTCCGAGCCTCAGTTTCCCATTTTGCAAGATGGGAGCCGGTGATCGCCAACGACTAGACCAGAGGTGGACGTCCTTGGATCCCAGGACAGTTTTCAGCCCCTCCCCGCCCTTCGCCCGGGCGTTAGCTGGTGGCGCAAGGAGTCCCCGGGGCCAAGCGGAGGGAGCCTCGCCGGCCCAGTCACACCCTCCACGTGGGCCCAACCCGTCAGCTCCTCCCTCTCCCTTGGGTATCTGCGCTTGACCGCCCCCCTCGCCCCCCCCCCCCCGTCCCCCATGTCCCTTCGCTGCCACCAAGCCCCAAGTTAGCGGCCTAAGCAGCGGGACTTGGGGGTTTCGCAGTCAGAGGTCAAAGTTCAATATTAATTGAGCGCCTGCTACGTGCTGCTCAGAGCTTGGGGCTTGGACGCTAACCCGCCCGCCTCCAGGGCTGCCCGCGACCCGGGCTCCTTCCCAGCCGCCCGCCGGGCACGAAGCGGTTAAAGCCTTTCTGGAGCTGGCACCGCCGCGGCGGCCGGGCTTATTAGTCAGCTCGCGGGGAGGGGGCGGGGGGGAGGGGCTGGAGATGAGAACCGCAGAAAGCTATTCTCAGGGGCTCCCAAGTGGGGGGGGGGGCGGCTCAGCAGGAGCTGCTGCTTCCCAGAAAGTGGATTATTTTTAACCCAGGAAGAAGAAAGGAAGGAGGCGAGGGAGAAGGACTCAGAAAAAAAGAGAGGATTGCAGAGGAGAGGAGAGGATGGGGAAGGGGGAGAAGGGAAGGGAAGAGGATGAGAGCCTTGCACGGGGCAGTGGAGGGGAGGGGTGGAGAGGGGCTGGCAGGAGAGGGGCTTGCAGGGGGTAATGGAGGGGAGTGGAAGGAGAGGCAGGGCCAGTCCAGTGGGGGAGGCCAGCTGGCAGGGGTCTCTGGGAGGGGAGTGGATGTGGAGGGGACACTGCCAACCTCCTTGGGCCCTCCCTGCACCCCTCCAGCTGTTCTCCCCGCCCCCGGGGCTCTGTGGGGCTCTCCTGCTGGACCCACCCCAAGCTGCCCATCCTGGCCTTCCCGTGGTTGAGCTGAGAGCAGTACCCTGTGGGGTGTCACCAACCCAGGGCTGTGCAAGGCACCAGGCTGGGAGAGTGGGGGGCCGAGGCCAAGCCGCAGCCCTGCCCTAGGGTGCCGTCCAGCTGACAGGCAGCACAGGGACCTGTCCTCACCCCTGCGGTGACCACAGGGAGAGGGGGCAGGAGGGCTGCCCTGAAAACACCGTGGTCCCCAGAAGTAGAGGTTTCTGGAGGAGAGGGCAGAAGGCACCTAGGGGCTCCTTTTCTCCAGCCTTGGGGTGGAGCCAGGCTGAAAACCGAGCCCAGGGAGGGGCCTCAGGGAGGGTGCTGGGACACGATGACAAAGGAGACAGAGTCAGCCGGGCCCACAGAAGGCTCACAGTCCTGCAGGAGTAGCAGAAGCTGCGCAAGCCATTAAGAATGATGCGTTAAACAATAGAGGGCAGTGGGCTGGGAGGGGACCACGCAAGGGGCCCAAGGGGCCGGGAGAGCTGGTCCCAGGGGGGGCCTGATCTCTGTGGGGGGCATAGGAGGACTCCCTGAGGACCAGGAGTGGCTAACTAGGTGAAGAGTGACTGGTGGAGGGGGTATGGATGGGATCCTGGGGCAACAGACCTGAGAGCCTCAGAGAGGATGTGTGGCCCAAGACTGTGGCCCTTGTCCCGGAGGCAGCCCGATGTTTGGGGAGAGTTCCAGAGAGCAGAGGGAAAAGTCCAGATCTGCAAAGCTCACTGGGGTGCCTGTACCCTGAGGCTGGAGAACGGGGTGTGTATGACTGAAGCTTGCGAGGAGGGGTCCAGTTCTGGGGCTGCCTCCGGACCTGAGTGTGTGAGTATGTGTCCCTTGCACAGAGTGGCCTGCTCTCCACTTGAGGCAAGACCCAAGGGACACATCGAACCCCTCCAGGACCAGGGGGTGATGGATGAGGATCCTGCCCCCCCCCCCCATCGCTGGAAAGCCAGCACCGCCCCCTCCACCCCTTGTTACTCTAGAACCCAGGACCAGCCTCTGAGGTCCTCCCCCAGGAGCAGGAAGGGGGGTTCCTGGGCTATTGGCTGGAGGGCAATGACTGTAGGGTGTCAAGGAGGCCTCGCTGTGGCATCACAGAATCACCCGCACCCACTTCCCATCGGGTCCCTGTCTGTCCTCTCCCAGGATGGGAGGGCAAGTCTGCTCAGCCTGTGGGGCGAGTGGCTTAGCCAAAGCCTGATTCCAGGCAGCAGCTGGGGGCAGAGCTTGGCCACCTGCAGCTCTGACCCTCCCTGCACACCCTAGGTCAGTGGCCTGTGGCCTTCCCATCAGTCCTGCCACCCACCATTAGCCCCCCTCCCCCAGGTTGGGGGTACATCATAAAGTCACAATTAAGATGAAGGGACAGACCTGAATCCAAACCCGTTGCTGACTGGCTGTGAGCTCTGGCAAGTGGCTCTGGCCTCTGTGCCTCAGTTTTCTCATCTGCAAAATGGGGATAATAATGGCAATGGCAGAGAAGGGATGGAGATCAGGGTCTTAGCAAAGAAGTAGCCTGTCCCGGGTCACTTGCGGCCCTGACATTTCTGCATCAGTGTAATGAGGGGCATGAGCTGCAGCCCTCCAAAATGCAAGAGTTAGACTCGCCACCCTCTCAGCACGGGCTAAGCGGTGGTATGACTCCTCTTTTGCAGATGGGAACACCAAGGCTCAGAGAAGTGTGGACTGGGTCCAGCGCTGCACAGCAGGAGGGTGGGGGGACGTGGGTTTGCATTCCCCCGTCTGCTTTCTCCTCTGGGAATTCCGTTCCCATTGCCACTGCCCTCCAAATAAACAAGTGCAAAATGCGTCCCCCCTCCAGGACACCCGCCTCTCCCTCCCCCAAACCCACACGGTGACCCAGGGCTGGCCCTCTGGGCCCAGGAGGAGCCGCGTCTCCATCGGGCATCTCTGAGCTGGGCTTTCTCGGCGGTGGAGCACAAAGGAGGGTAGCCGGGCAGAGAAAGAGCCCGACAGGCGAGGAGCCGGCTCCGCGGGCGCTTTTCTCCCCGCTTTCTTCCTCTCCTGGCTCTTTGTTAAGCTCCCTTTCAGCTGAGCCGGCAGAGCCTGGGTGTTCTGAGCTCACAATAATTGCTGTGTCTAGACAGTCTGGTATGAGGCCTCCCTCTCCCGCGCCTCCCCGGCCTCCCCGAGGCTCCCTTTCCCAGCCCTGCGGCCCTGTGGCCCAGCTCCACGCCCTCTGTCTCCCACACCCCTTCCCCTCTCTGGCTGCCAACCCCCACCCCCGGAGTCCTGCCTCCCTCCTGTTCAGACCTTCAGGGCTCCTTCTCCCCATCCCACCCTTGGGCGGGCACACACTCATCCCCCACCTTCCTCAAGGCCTGAAATCCAGGGGACAAAGGTGGTTTCCCATTTGGCTCTGGCTGGGTAACCTTGGAGGAGGCTGTAGGCCCCCAGGAGCAGGAGGCCGCTCACCTTGCTGGACGTGGGGCTGAGCTGGGCAGCTCCGGGATCCGTCCCGCTCCTATCCTCATCTCTCCATCTGGGCCTGGCTGGGAACCCAGAGGAATCAGCATAGGAGGGATTTAGGATAGGTACAAGGAAATACTTCTTGGCACCTCTGACCACCAGACACGGATGGAGTGGTTTCAGGAGGTGTAGAGAGTGGGAAGTCACATTTCACAAGTTCTAAGGTCTGTCCCCGCCCCAGGTCAGATCAGCAACCCAGGAAGATTTCCCCAAGAGCTAGAGTTTCCTCACAGGTGTCAGAATTGAGGCCCTTGGGGTGTAATAATATCCAGCGTTTGGCTCAGCCCTTTCCCTGTTCCAACCACTGTGCAAACTCTGTACAAATGTTCATTTACTCAATCTCCCAACATTTATTTAATCTCACTACGAGAGAGAGAAAGGGAATGAGCCTATGATTTGTCCCATTTTACAGATGAGGAATCTGAGACCCAGGGAGCCTAAGTAACCTGCCCACGGTCGCAGAGCCAGCAAGTGGAGGAGCCCCGACGTGAAGCCCCAGAAGCTGGCTCTAGCCCCAATAATTACCAGTGGTACAAATATTAAACGCTTACTGAATACCTGGGGCTGTGATCAGCACTTTACAGGTATTATTTCCTTTAGCCTCACGACACTGTTACCTAGGACCCAGGATTATGTCCATTATACAGACTAAAAGAGCATGGCGGAGGGCTGCTGGGTGTGGCCAGATGGTGACCTAGCTCTCTCAGTGAGGCCTTGTAATCCAGAACCTCTCCACGGCTGTCGCGCTACACGGAAAAAACTTGACACGAAGTAGAAGCTTCTGTGTCATTTCCCACTTCTTCCCTCTGGGCTTTCTTGAGCACCTCCAGGGCACCCAGCCCTGGCCAGGCTGGGGCAGACAAAGGCCAAGGTGGGGGCTCTGTCATCACCGGACCTGGAGGAGGTCTAGTGGACCTGGCCTAGAGGAGGCTGGCAAGTCAGCCAATTTCCGTCCAGAGTGGGAATGATAATGATGCTTGAGGGGCCACAGGGCCTCTGGGAGCCGAGGGGAAGGGCCCTAAATCCAAGAAGGCTTCCTGGAGGAGGTAGAATCAATATTACCCTGGAGGATCAGTAAGAGTTAGACCTAGAAGGGAGGGAGAGGCATTCCTGGCAGAGGGAATCACACATAAGAAGGTCCCAGAGTGAGAGAAACACAGGGTGATCTCAGAGGACCCAGGAACCCTGAGCGGCTTTGTCAGCCTGAACAGGAGTGGGGGGCCAGGGAGGGAGGTGGGGGGGAGCCATGAGGCTGGAGCCCAGCTGATAGGAGGGGCCTTGATCGCCAGGCCCGCTGGGAGCTGGCACTTACCCAAGGCAGGCAGGGCTGTGATAATCAGGGGGATGTTGCAGCGGGCAGCCTGGGTGGATTGGAGAGGCCCGACCCATTATACAAAGATGGCCTCCTCTGATGTCAGGGACTGGTCCCCGAGTGTGTCTTCAATGCCGTTCCAGACGCGGGAAGCAGCGTGGGCAAGGACCCGGAGGCGAGGGCGGCCAGGTGGGCTCCTGGGGCAGCGGGGCCGTGTACTGAATGGCCTTCAGAAAGAAGCAAGGGATAGGGAGCAGCGAAGGTTTGGTGGCTCGGGAAGAGGATTAATTGGGAAGATTAATCTGGAATCTTCACAGGATGGCTCAGAAGGAAAACCTGGAGGCAGAGAGGCTGGGAGGAGGCCACTGCTGAGTGGGTTTTCCTTTTCCTTCCCCAGCAGATCTGTCCTCATCTTCAGCCACGCCTCCCTTCTGCAGAGTCATTTTTGATTCTGCACCACCACCACCCCCCTCCCCAGCTGGAGATGGAAGGAGGATGCTGGCCATTCATTCCTCATCCAGGCCATCGATGGAAATGTCAGACCGCGCAAGTCCACGCCTGAACAGCCCTCGTGGCCGCCGGGCGCTGACGCTGGCAGATCCATTGATGAGCTGGGCGCCTGCCACCTCTGGGTCTGCCTCAGAGCGACGCGGCCACAGGCCTGGCTCGTGGCTTCTCCGGAGTTGACTCCGAATGCACAGCGTGGGCCTAATAGGGAGCTGGGGGCAAGCGCACACAGCACGCCCACGTCCACGGGCTGGCGCAGGAGGAAAACAGGGTCAGGCAGGTGACATAAGACAGATGGGGATTCCGGGGGGACAGGCTGGATGGTGTAGCCCTAATGGTGAAGACCTGGGTCACACAGGCCTGTCATCCCTGACCCCAAATCCCTGGGCAGAAGGTTCGAGAACTCGGAATTTTTCCAGTTGTAGAAAGATGATCTGACACGTATACCGCCTATTTCCTAACACCCCCCAAGGAGGTGTGGGGCAAACCCTGCAATCAAACAAGTTAATATGTCTGCAGCAGAGCTGACTCGCCAAATCCCAGTTCCTCGACTTGCCACCGGGGCCGTGGTGCCCAGCTCCCGGGGTGGTCCCGAGAATTTGATGCCTGCCGGGCCTCCGACGCAGGTGCATGTCCTGCCCCCGCCCTTTGCACTTACTGCTCCTTTCCGGGACATTCCTCTCCAGGATGGCTTTCTCACTTCCACGCGGGCTCTGCTCAAACGCCACCCACCTCCTCAGCGAGGCTCGCCCTGGCCGTGCCCGCCTCCTCCCGCCCCCTCTCGCTCTCCTTCCTCTTCCTTCTCAGCACCTACCACCTGACCTCTAACTTAATCAATAACTCATTTATCCGTTGCCTGCTCTCCCTCGGTGGAGTCTGGGCCTCTCGAGGGCAGGACTCCTTTCTGTCCCTCCAGCACCTAGGACAGTACCCGCGCAGGTGGGCCCTCCCAGTCTTGGTTCGGGAACAACAAACAGTCTGTTCAAGTGCCCAGCACATCATCAGAAAGCCTCAATAAAGCCGAGCTGGTACCATCACCATTACTGATGTCCTGAAGCGACTGCTGTTTCTGTTTTTATTATATTATGACGTTCCTGATCTGACCCCGGACCTTGGTTCTCCAGCCTGGGAAATGGGCATCCTGGGGCACGGGGCACCAGACGCTGCCTGGGTCGCTGCAAGAGAGACAAAGAACGCCACCCGCCCACCTGGGGGAGGCTGTGCCCCTCACTGGAGAGAGAGGCCCAGGAGAAGCTTGGAGAATGCCAGCCCCAGCAAGCAGGGCTGCCAGAAGGCCATACATAATTCATTGCCAAATGGGGCTGCGGGCGGCTCTCTGCGCCATGCGCTGGGGGCTCACTCTGCGCCTGGCACTTTGCTGACTGCTCCTCACACGTCGCCTCATTGCATCTTCGCAGGTTTGCCGGGTGCGATCCTGCCCCTCCCCCTGGCTCATCGAGGGGGGACCTGAGGTTCAGAGGATGGGGTGACCGCTTGAGCCAAGCTGGGCCTCAAGTCAGCAGACTGGATTGCGATCCAGCAGCCCCAGTCACCGCCTCCCTATGGAGGGAAGAGGCAGCCCTGGGGAGGGCCTGGGGTGGGGACAGAGGAGGACGCTCACATGCAGGACAGGCCGGGGGGACAGGCTGGATGGCAGCGGGGTCTGTCGTGCAGGGGGGTAGGCATTGCGTCCCAGCCTGCAGCCCACCTCCCCATGCCCTCCTCCCCTTCTGTGGCCATCAAGAGCACTGGTTCTGGAGTTCAAGGGCTCAGTTTGCTCAGCTGTACAATGGGAATAACAAGACCTACCCCTGGGGCTGGAAGCTCGTGCGGACGGGAACCAGCTCCAAAATGCCAGGGGAAAAGCCAGTCCTCAAAGGTTATATACTCTGCGGTTCTGTTCAGATCACATTTTTGAAATTACCACATTTTAGCAACGTAGGACGGATGAGACATTGTCGGGGATTTGGGAGGCTGGATGGGGATGAAATGGGGTGTGGTTACAAAGGAACAACAGCAGAGACCCTTGTGGTGCTGGAAGTGTCCTGGGTCCTGATGGGGACGGACATAATTGTACACAACTTGGGGCACGTACACAAGAGGAGGATGGAAGCCTGAGGGAGTGGGGCGGGTTGTCATGCCCATGCCCTAGCTGAGAGATTGTCCCTGGCTTTGCTAGACCTTTCTGTTGAGGGAAACTGGGGGCAGGGTACCTGGGCTCTCTCAGCATTATTTCTCACAACGGCATCTCCATCTACAGTTAGCTCAATTAAAATTTCGATTAAAAGATGTCTCCTGCTGGGGCGCCTGGGTGGCTCAGTCGTTAAGTGTCTGCCTTCGGCTCAGGTCATGATCCCGGGGTCCTGGGATCGAGCCCCGCATCGGGCTCCCTGCTCAGCGGCGAGTCTGCTTCTCCCTCTTCCTCTCCCTCTGAGATCTCTCTCGCTCTCTCTCAAAGAAATAAATAAAATCTTTTGGGGGAAAAAAAATGTCATCAGCCTGTGTCTTGAGAGGGTTAAAGGAGTGGTTGTGTGCAGTTCTCTGGGCCAGGCTAGGGGCCATGGGGCATTTGCCTGCCTGGCAGCTGGAGTTTTCCTCACTGAATTGTTATTCCTGCCTCTGAGCCTCCCCAGTCTTCATTCCAGAATATTCCTACCCTCTTCCACCATCCCATAGACAGGAATTCAATACTACCCCATGAGACTCTAGAATAGACTCTGAAAGGGTCTTGATGACAAGGAAGGCCTTTGTCATCAGTCTCCCGTCTGCATCGGGCGGGGAACCCCAGCCGTGCTCAGAGGCTCTCGGTCAGGACTGTGAGAACAGTGACCTCCCCCCCCCACCCCCGCCCCCGCGGTCTCCTGCCTCCGGGAGAGTTAAGGGCTGTGCAAAGCGTGTTGAGTATCAGGCAAGTGGGTCCTAGACCTAGCCAAGCTCTGCCTCACCAAGTAATTCTAGACAATCCCTACCCTCTCTTTGGTACTTAACTTCCTCATTCAAAGCACAAAGGAATTGGACTAGATGATCCTTAAGGGGCACCAGGGCCCATGATGTTGGCCAAAGAGGACTTTCTTTCACATTCCATGTGACTGGACAAGAAGAGCTTGGCCCCAGGCCTGCCTCTGGCCCTTCCCTGCATGTGACCTTGGGCCCTCCCTGCCTTTCAGCATCAATAGAGCCAGAGGGTCACACAGCTCAGGTCATCAAGTCATTCAACAAACATCCACTGAGTTTTTTTCTGTGCCAAACACTGGAAGAAAAAAGGTGGGGGGAAAAGAATACTGTCCTTGCCTTCACGGAACTTGCAGTCTAGAATGCCACGAATAAATCAAGAATTGCTGCTGAGATTATGCGAAGAAGGACAGTGCTCAGTGGGGACAGTGTGCTTTAGGCCCATTGTGAGGGCTTCCCCGAGAAGTGACAATTCAGCTGAGGTCTGATCGAGGAATTAACGCTAAGCCAAGGGGGTGGCCACAGGTAGTGGCTGCTCCCAAACAGGGGGCAGCAGGAACTGGGGGCCCGTGCAGACAGACCCTGGGGTGTGAGAGATCATGGTTCAGAAAGAGGCCATGGCTTCCCCAGGGGAGCAGGTGCAAGTGTGAGGTGAGCCTGGGAGGCCAGAGTGCCGGGCTGAGGAGTCTCACCTCCACCTCAGACAGAAGGGATCCTCTGAGATGAATCACGCAGGGGAATGACCAGATTGGATTTGTGTTTTGAAAATCTCCTCCCGTTTACCAAGAGGAGAAGGGGATCTCATGGGCCCTTGTTGTTGCCTTGAATGATTTTTACCGTGATGTTACTTAAACATGTACCAACGTAAAACAGGCATAAATTCCTTGGAGCTCTTAGACAACCATAAGACCGAGACAAATTGATCAATCAAATACAAAATCAATTCAAACCAGATTAATTTTATGTGACATAGTATGTCTTTTGTTTGAAACCCTGTCACCAGCTACAGTACGAACATGGCCCAAGCACGGTGGCTTTTGAGTTTTGTGGGACAGAGCGGAATGGCCTTTTTAAATCAGTACGAACTAGGCAGACAACTCCAGAGAAAAACAGGGGAGGAAATACTGGAAGGAAGGTACTTCACAGGAGAATATCCAAGTGACCAACAAAGGCATGAAAATGTGCTCAGCTTCATGACATCAGGGGAAACCCAGGACCACAGTGGGCTACCACTTCCCATACCAGCCCGGCTAAAGTGAAGACCGACAGTGTTGGTGGGCACATGGAGCAACCGGAATCTCCCACAGCCAGTGGGAACGTGACTTGGTAAAACCACCGTGGGAAGCGCACTCACTGGGTCTACTCCAGCTGCGCACGCCCTGCCCTCTGACCCAGCACTTCCGCCCCTGGGCAGAGACCCGACAGACGTGCATCCGTGCATCCACCAGAGGACGCAGCCTGGAATATTCTCAGTGGCACTGTTGGTAATAGCCCTGAATGGAACGAACCCAACTGTCCTGTAGCTGTAGAAAAAATGTAAGATAAATGAGTTGTCGACTATCCATAGGATGGATACCTGGCCAGCTTCCAAGATGGAGGATCCACAGGTATATACAACGATCTAAAGGAAGCTCATAAACGTCATGTACAAAAGATGTCTTTTTTTTTTTTTTAAGATTTTATATATTTATTTGACAGAGAGAGACACAGTGAGAGAGGGAACACAAGCAGTGGGAGTGGGAGAGGGAGAAGCAGGCCTCCCGCCGAGCAGGGAGCCCAATGAGGGACTTGATCCCAGGACCCTGGGTTCATGACCTGAGCCAAAGGCAGATGCTTAACGACTGAGCCACCCAGGCGCCCGTCTTTTTTTTTTTTTTTTTTTTTAAGATTTTATTTATTTATTTATTTGTGAGGGAAAGAGAGAGAGAGAGTGAGCGTGTACAAGCAGGGGTGGTGGCAGGCCGAGGGAGAAGCAGGTGCCCCCTGAGCAAGGACCCCAACTCGGGACTCCGTCCCAGGATCCCGGGATCATGACCTGAGCCAAAGGCAGATGCTCAACCGACTGAGCCACCCAGGTGTCCCCAAGATGTCTTTTATATAAACGATAAAAACAGGTACAACTGGTTCCTGGGGTTGGGCATCAGGGTAGATGGAGATGACCCTCATGGGGAGGTGGGATAGTGACCGGGGATTCGGGAGGAAGAGGAGACCAATGGACTGGACATCGGAGAAGTTGCTAGAAATAGCACTTTGGTCCTCAAGGCTCTGAATTCAACTGAGAGGCCAGATGTGGGGCAGTGGGGAAGACCTAAGAGATACAGCCCGGGGTCCCCTGCTCCCCCTTTCCTTGTCCACACAGACCACCAACTAGCAAGTGGTAACCCAGGCCTATAGCCCACTCTGGGTGGACAGGGCCTAAGGCACCTTGTCTTCCTTCGACCCCATGACTCCGCCTTGCTGTTCTGCACCAAGCCTGCTGACCGGTGGGAGCCAGGGGTCATAAGGGGGCTGACCTTACAGGCCAGAGATTGGGAGCTCCTCCAGGGGAGAGGCCTTGCCTGCGGTGCCGGACGTTGGCAGGCAGCCCCTGGCCCCAGCTTCCAGGGAAGCACGAGGATGCCACACCAGCACACGCTGCTGACCCCGGCCAGCCTCAGGCGAGCTCGGCTCCAGCCCTGGCTGTGAGGAGCCATTTGCTTGTGCCTTCCCCTCCTCTCCCCTGCTGCTTTAGAGAGAGTAAAGGGGGAGGGCCATTCCCTGCTCCTGAAAAGTGGACAAATAACCCGCTGCAGCCGCCCTCGAGAAGGACCGCGTCTGTCTGCAGGAAGTTGGTGCTCCCCAACGGTCGGGTGGTTTAATGCTCCTCAGGGCAGGATGTGTGTGGATGGCCGACCGGGGCCTCCCCACGGGAAGCTTACGGACAGGCTTCCCGGAAAATGGGATTGTTGAATCAGAGTTCAGAATTTTTGCTTAAGAAGCACCCACTGGGGGCGCCTGGGTGGCTCAGTCGTTAAGCGTCTGCCTTCGGCTCGGGTCATGATCCCAGGGACCTGGGATCGAGCCCCGCGTCGGGCTCCCTGCTTCGCGG